GTTACTGCACGGGCAAGTTCTGTCAAAGGGAGAAAAAATTCAGAGTTGGCGCCATCTCAAAATCTGTGTCTGATTCACAGACATCTGTGTCTCTCTGAGAAATATCTTTTTCACAACCAGAGCTGTCCAATGGAGAAATAAGCCTCTTCCTAAGAGGGTGAACTTCCCACAATGGAAAGTGGTCAGGCGCTGTAGGGAAGTGTTCCAGCCCTGGGTGGGGCAGTAGGGGCCCCCTGAGATCTGAGGAGCTACATTTATGATGGAGGTAGCCTTTGGTCACACGTGATTATTGTGAAGTGACACGTACTGAGGGTCTATTTTTTATTTTTAGGTTTGGGGAGAAGTGAGGCTTTGAGTGTATTCCGGAGTTGGAGCTCATGGGAGGTGTTTATTTTGGCCCATACAACAAGCATCCCTAGCGCATGGAGTCAACTCTAAGGCTCAGGCCATGCGGTCAAGCTCCAGAACAGAGCACAGTAGGACAGAAAGATGCTGCTGCCCCCACACTGACTGGCTTCATTATGTCATCGCCTGCTGAGCCAGCCCTTGGCTCCTGGACTTGTCCCCACTCTGCTAGTCCTTCCTCTCCTGCTCTCAATATCCACTCGTAGGGCAGCACTGTCAGCTGCCCTGGGGGAGGATCATTCTTAAGCTCTACGTGCCATCTTGTCCTCTGGAGGAACTCCCACCCAGTGCTAACCCCCATGAGAACCTCCAGGCTCTTTCTGCAGGACTTTAAGAGCACAGACCTGGGGCCTCGCTTGGGAAAGCAAAGCAGAGCAAATCCTCTTGCAGAAAATGTGCCTTTTCCCTGAACTGCACGTAAGTGAGGGGAGCTTCTCGCGGCCTGCGAGCGAGCGTCTCAGGGAGTGTCCTCAAGTACAGTACAGCCTTTGGTGAGGTCCGTGTGCGATGATACCACTGGGACCACAAAGGCAGGCACGGCAGGAAGTGTCCCAGATGTTGCTTGTTAGCGTTCGAACAAATTACACAAAGCAAATTGTTAGCAGACGTGTTTTCATAATAGTTAGCTGGTGGTACTAAATAAGAGCGATTGCCTTTCAAGTAAATGCTAAATTTCCCCCAATCCAGCTTCCAATTGTCCATGAAGGGATTATCTCGGATTAGGATAACGATGGGAGGAAATGCCGCTATCCTCACAGGAGCAGGGCTGGAAGCACAGGTGCTGCGTGGGGGTGCAGGGGGGCCCTGCTCCCGGAGCGGACATCACAAAGCAGAGAAGGCAGTGCGTGGACCTCCAGAAGGTGGACCACGTGCCGGACTCACCTCTGGGGTTCTCAGTGTGGTCCTCTCATGCCACCAGAGACACGGGCACATGGCAACAGGAGAGCCCCGCTAGTACTTAGAGGGTTAATGACAAAAACCCTTAATTAGACCCATGGACAGATTTCCACTGCTTCCCTTAACAAGATGTTATAGTTTTTTTTTTTTTTTAAAAATCATCTACTTCTTCACAATCCCATGTATTAATATTTGAGGTTGAAAAAAATGCATCAAACTCCCTCCCCATGTCACCCGTTGTAGATGAGTGACGGAGGTGTCCCCTGGGGGAGCCGAGGGCAGACAGCAGGCCCTTCTGCTGCTCCTGCCTAGGGAGACCTGGCTGTTTCTGTAGAAAGAGCAGAATATTTCCACCTTTCCAGACCTTCCTATGATAACTGAATTTGAATCCCTGGTCATCTCTGGGCATTTGCAATTATCTTCAAAGATTTGACAAAACTCTCCTAAAACCACCTCAAAAATAATTTTAAAAATAATTTTAATTAAACAAATAAGAAATATTCCATACAGCATATAAATACGAAAAGAGGTTATTGCAGTATAAAGGGCTGTTGGAACAGCTGCCCTTTTATTGTTTCCCTAAGAAATTTATGGTTTTGTCCCCCTTCCCTGGTTTTCTTCTCCAGCAGACCAAACAGCTGGTGCTCCCAAGGAGCTCTTCACTCCTTTTTCTGGTTGAAAGGGGAAAAAAAAAATTGGCCACCCTGCTGAAGGGAAATAATAGGATCCCAGTGTAACTCTCCTAGGTGGTAACGAGGCCCTCAGGACACTGTGCCCACAGTCGCCCAGGCCCCTTGAGTCCTGCTCATCCAGCTGCCTCCAGGGCACACCCTGCTGGAGTAAGAGGGGACACTTATTAATAACAACTGTAGGAGTTCCAGAGCACGTCTGCCCTGGTGTTAGGAAGCTGGGAGACATTTTATACCGAGCAAAGGCAGTAGGGTATATACTCCCAGCCGCTTCCTAAGGCTCTTCCAACTACAGTGTAGGCAAACACACACACACACACACACACACACACACACACACACCTTTTACCTAAAGTCTTTGTGAAGGGAATAATGTGCTTCATAAAATAAAACACTTGAAATGCCTTTGGCAATAGAATTGTCTCTTGATATTTTTTAATATTTGACAAGTGTAATTGGAAATGTTTGGAAAATGAACACGCACACACACACACACATGCTCTAATTTGGAATTAAGCAAAACTATCATTATGCACCACGACCTGAAGCACAGCCACTGCGGTGGAATAACAAGTACTGTGGTCTATGCTCTTGTGAGGCCCCCCAGGAGGCTCCCCGTGGGCCTGATCCTTTAAGGTCCGCTTTAAATGAAATGGCCTAGTGTGTTTATCATTTGTGAAGCTTTTTAGGTGCCTGGTTTGACAAGATTTTCAAGAGGGGTAAAAATTAATTATAATTGCAGTAATGCTACGATAATTTGGTCGGCTAATTGCATTTCAGTGTAAAAACAGGCAAGGAAGCATTTCTTCCCCAGGTTATTCTCTGAGATGGCAGCATTTATTTTCAGAGTAATGAGATTTTTAAAAAGTCAAACCTTAAATATCATGGCTTCAACAATCTGTCCTGCTTAAAATTTAATGCAAAATTAGATGGCACCTCTGTGAGAGCAGCCACATGAACACAGATCCAGTTTTCTCCTGGACTTGAAATGGGAACATATCTGTCCCCTGAATACGACTTGAGGTATGTTTGACGTTGCTTGGGGCTGATTTTGATGGGGGGGGGGCGCATCAATGTTCATAACGTTTTAGTGTAGGAGGCACTGGTGAGGGTGGGTAGGAAGTTTTGAAGCTTCTAGAAGTCACTAAACAAAACACCTGTCAATGGCAGGTGCAGGAGGACTGAGCAGAAACAGCCTGTGCGGTTGGAATTTTCTGGATCTTGTTGTTTTCACACTGGTAAGTCTAAATACATAACTTGCTATGGCTTTTGAGTGAAATGATCTAACTCTAGGCCAGTGGTGAGTTTAGGCTTAACAAACTTTTGAGGGACGATGTCTATTGCTTAAAAATCTTAACTCTGCCCCAAAGCCTGATTCAAGGTAGTTTTGTCACGTGCTGAAACCCACAGACCGTGTGCAATCTGACAACTCGAGCCCAGTCCAGTGGCAGGTTTAAGGCATCCTCCGCCTTGGCCCTTGCCTGGCAGGCTCTCATTCCAGCCACTCTTTGTGTGTCTGAGGAGGATTTTGCTATGAGGTACTTTCACCAAGACTGCACACCAAAGTGGGCCTGACAGTATGGTGTGGAATATTTCTTATCGTCTTCATCTGAGTGCTGCTTTACAGATAGTTGATATGCAGGTCTACCCAGGGCTGCCCTTGGGGTTGCCCAGGTCATGTTCTGTATAAGGGCAGTTGGTCAAGAGGTAGAGATCCCAGCCAGCTCCACTTGCCAGCTGAGACTCCAGCTCAGGCTGCACCCTGGAGGAAGCTGTGACCTTCCTGATTCACACGTGCCCCCAAGTCGTCCCCCCACCCTCTCCCTCCCAGGGGTCACAAAGTCTAACATTCCTCTCCACACCATAGATGTTCTTTTCTGGAAGAAGTTATGCCCACGGCAAAGGTGAATTCATTTTGAAGGTACGTTTTTCTGTTCCACGAGAAAGCAAGAAAAGAGAGAGAAGGAACGAGAGAAAGGAAGACGATAAAAAGATTGGGAGAAGAGGCTGCCCTTCTGCCTAGTTCATTGTGGATTCATTGTCCGTCTCGGGACACAGCTGCAATGGGGCAGAAAATCAATTTTTTCTATTATTCCACGGTGAGGAAGGAAAACCTATTTGTAAATTGAATTAAACCCAATAATAACATGTCTGTGTATTTGTTGAGGACTAGAAAAATTAGCCACAGATACAACTACATAATCCAGCAGGGTCACCAGAAATTAACACTCTCAAAGCTTAGTTGAAACATTTTTTTTTCTTTTTCTTTTTAAAAAGAACACTCATGGCTAAATGTCACTAAAATTCTTCGGCATGCCAACACACCAACACCTCAATAAGGACTCTGGAAAAGAAGAGACTCCAAAGCCCCATCTGGGCGGACCATGTTTCCAAATTCTTGGCCTTTGCTGCTTGGGTTATCAGTCCGTCCATAATGACTGGATGTGAACCCTCTGATGATGGTTTCTTCCCAGGTTGCAATCTGTGGTGCTGACTGTGGAATACATCCCCTGTTTCTGCGTCGGCTAGCTCTTGTTCACAGAAACCCTAATCCACCCACTGAGCACCAAGTAACCACGTGGCTAGAGCCAGCAAGGGTCTTGAAGTTTCATTAGCAGTCTGCCCTCTAGTGGAGCAACACAGAACTTCAAATAACTAGGAATAGGAAAAAAAAAATTTCTTTTTTCCTTTCTCTTTCAGAGAGCAAAAGAATTCAAGTTTTCCAGATAGTGCAAGGTGAGGCAGTCATCCTCAGAAGACAGCTTCCCGAGCTGAGTCAGACAAGGCTCACACAAGGTCAAAGTTAGAGGCAGGTGGTGCTGTGGTGGACATCCTGCGGAGTAGGCAGGGACAGAAGTCCTTCTCACGTCCCTTGAGCCCTCCAAGGTTTCCCTTGGGTATTAGCATTCTATAACCATTCTCTAATTATACAAAAAGGGCCCAACTTAGGAGCAACGAACATATCAGGAACATCAAAAATAACAGGCTTTTTGTAACGTTTTTTGGCAAATCATTAACATAAGACAGGCCTTTCAAAAAGGGCCATGTTGAGTTTTTAAAAAGGCAAAGATGAACACATTTTATAAAAAGAGCAAGTCTTCGTGGCCGTTACACTTTAAGAGGAGAATCTATTTTGTGACGTGGGCTGGATGTTGGTAAGGCAGAAGATGATCTCGATAAGCTGCTGTTCTGGATGTTGCTTCCGGCGTTTGGAAGACTTCAGAACTTGCCTTGCTTCAGCTTGTCGATGTGGTAGCAGAGTTTCAGGGCAGGTCCCAGCTTGAGGCCCAGATACTTCATGATCATGTCGCTCTTCAGCAGCAGTAGTGCATAGCCGTCGATCTCCTGGTGGAACAGGGTCGGGAGAAAGAAAGGCCCAAAGATGGTCAGAGTCGCCAGACAGCAGCCAAGGTTACCGTGTAGTTGGGGGGTGTGCTCAGGGCACATGGCATTTAGATGGCATATTCTCTCTCTTTTGAAATATTAAAGCAAACAAATATTATGTGCTCCTCTTCCCACTGTGTCCCCGGCATCATCCCATACACCAGATCTTTCTTTCATCCTGCCCTCCCCACTGAAGGAGTCAAATGGAACCCCACTGTGTTCCCAACGTACCACAGGTGAGGTTTATCTCCTAATTTGATCTTAACTAAAAAAGCACGAAGTGCTATCCTTTCCTGCTCTAAGAAACTAGAGGTAACCCTTCCATTCCAGACTTTCATCCATCACCCTAATCTCGCTTCTCTTCTAGGTGGCCCCACCTACGTTTAGCTGATTACAAAACTGCTCACTACACTCTGTGAGGGTTTCGGGTAGGTTTTAGGCCTGTCACTAGGCCTGTTTAAGTCTGTATTTTCACCGAACACGAGGTGGAATGCACTGAATCATGCCCCTGCTTCATCTCAGGGTTGAGCATGAAGGACTGTTAAGGGAATGAGCCAGTCCTTTGAGGTCCTGTTATTGTTCCTACTTGTCCCTGAAAGAGGTGACCCTTCAAAAGGCACGCTGACTTCAGGACTCTCCCAAGGCTGGGCTTCCTCACTCCCCTGTAGTGCTATCTTCAGGTCACTGGCGACGAAGGTAGAAATATTGTGTGCTCAGGTGAGGGAGAGACACAGTTATAGGGCTCAGGTACCTGTGCAAGGGTCCCCAGCCCCTCTCACTCACCTATCTGGCCAGCCAGTATTGACCGAGCACCCACCCTGCACCCTCACTCCCTGAGTCCTGGGCAAAATGGCAGAGTGTGCAAAGCTCATCTGTGGGCTCCTCCTGGGAGCCTAATTTCCTGCTGCCCTAGACTCCCGCTGTGTCCTACCGCCCAGGAAGGGAGCGAGACTCCCCCGCCCAAATCTGTCTAAACATAATGCATCCTTGGACTTGAGGGCCCATTGTTAGGAAAGGTCCCATATATGCCTATCAAATGTGAGTGTTAAGTCAGATGAAGGTCCTCTCCAAACCTGAGAGTGTGATTTCTATGACAGAGTCATCTAATAAAATGAAAAACAGGAAGGACAATAGTAATGGTAACTAGTAGGCAGAATAATGCTCCTGCCCCTCCCAGCTGGAGGTCTGTATCCGAATCCCCAGAACCTACAGATGTTAGTTTATGTGACAAGGGGGAGTTAGGCCGCTCAGCAGCTGACTTTAAAGTAGAGAGACTGGCCAGGATTGGGGGCTGGGGTGGCAGTGGCAAGGTAAAGGCGAGGAGATCAGCAGAGAAAACCAGAGACTACAGCTGGAGAAGGACTCAGCTTGACGTTACTGGCCACCGTGGACCTGGCAAACAGCCTCCCTAGAAGCTCCCCAAAGGAACGCAGCCTTGTTGACACCTTGATCTTAGCCCACGGGCCTGTGTCAGACTCCTGACCTACAGAGCTATAAGATAAATAATTTGTGCTGTTTCAAGTCACTGTGTTTGTGGTAATTTGTTATAGAAGCAATACAAAGCAAATATTGTAAGCTTGTCATGTAAAGCTTGTCACTTTCAAAAAAATTACCATCTTTATATATTTCAGAATCTCCTAAGTAATTATAATAATGTCTGCTAACTGGAGGCTGTCAGGAGCCGGCACCGTGCGTTTCCTTGTTTAGTCCCCAGAGCGGTGCTAGCACAGGACGGCCAGTGTGCCAGGCACCAGAGCAGGCTGTACGTCTGTGCTGAGCGCATAGGCAGACGGGTGGATCGACAGCAAAACCAGCACTCCTGATGAAGGCCAAAGGGGGGCAACAGAGGGACAATATCTCTCAAAAATAAAACTAAGGGGCCTTTCTCCTCTGAGAAGCCTGTGGTTGCTTCTGCCTCTCTCATCTCTGGCTCCCTTATTGCAGACCTAGGGCTCAGTTCAGACACCCCAGCATCCTGCAACCCCCAAACCTGTATACCTGCCATGCCTGACCCCCCAGTCCTCCCAGGCCAGGCCCACTCCTCGCATACATGCTTCCTGAAGAGCTCCACGTGGGGCCCCAGAGCCTGCGGGTCCGCATCTTTCACAAACCACACCACGTCCTCCACAGTCCAGTTGTAGGGGTTCCTGCTCCGTGGCCGCCTGGCATCCTGCCTGTCCAGAGTAGAGCTTGAGGCTGGATAAACCGGAGAGAGAGAGGCTGTGAGCGGATGGGACAGGGCCTTGGCACTCCCCGGTGTTGCCTGCCCACCTGGCCTGGGCAGGGTTTCTCAGCACCCTTGACCCAGTGAGATGGCCCGAGTGACCCCCTTGGGCAGGGAGGGCTGTGAGTGGCTGCTTTGTCAGTGGCCTGGAGCAGGGAAAGTCACTCCTAGAGGCAGAGCCCACCCCACCCATGCAGAAGCTCTCTGCTCTCCCTAACAAAGTGTTAGGAAGTGTATTTCCTTCGACAGACCCGAGTTAGCAATTTCAGGACCCCTCCCGTCAGTCCTCTCTCAGCCCAGGGCCTCCTGTGGCCAGGGCAGGTGTGCTAAGGTGAATGTCCAAATGGACCTCGTGGTGCAGAGAGGCCAATGACTTCAGGTAATTTCTGCCTCCACTGGCTTCACACTGAGATGATAAAGACATGGCCCAATTGAGGTGTACTTTTGTTCTCCTTCTTGGCTTCTAAAGAATGCAAATCTGTCATAGCACCCTCAGGGCCATTCCTCGGGTGCTCGGGCACTAGGCTTGCTGCCGCTGGCATGTGCCAGGCACTTCCACAGCCCTCTGGGTCTATGAGGGCACTTACCCTGGCCTCCTTCCACAGTGGGGCTAACTCTGTGCCTGGTCCATGGCTGATCATTGGTAAATGGCTGCCAGAGTACCATTTCCCATGTACCAGGTGAAAGGGTTCAGGGCAGGTGAAGGAGGAAGAGAGCTATGAATTCTGTGTCTGGCAATATTTAGGGGGTGATTTTGTGGGTGTATGCCCCAAATTAACTCACCTCCTTTCCCTACAGCCAGCTTCTCCTCCCGTCTCCCTGTTCCTGAAACCCAGACCTTTGCTCCCCACATTTAATGATTCTGAAGCTCTCATGCTGGTCTTCTACCCTTGAGGCCCCAACCCTAAAGCATCTCCCCCAGCCTCTTGCAATGGTTTCCTGGCAGATTCTTTTGCACCATGCTTCTTTCTTTCTGGCCTATACAACTGCCACTGCCCCGTGCTTCTCCTAAGACACAGCTCCAGATGCCCCTCTCAGCGCGGAGTCCACGCTCTATCTCAAAGTCAAGGGATCTCTTTGCTCTCAATGTAGCTTTCCTTCCTGGAAGACGGGGAGACGAGCCTTGGTGCTGGAGAGACCCAGGAGTGATCCTGAAGCTGCCTTGGCTAGTGGTCAGCCCAGCATCATGTCATCCCTGCAGCCCTGCGCTCCTGCACATGCCCTGTCTGGGCACACTTGACAGGGCCACACGTTTCCCTAGTGTCCCTTCTCTACCTTCAGCTGGTGCTCTGAAGTCTCCTAGAAGGCGTGTGCTCTCCCTCCCTCCCACTGAAGTTCTACCAGCCATCCAAGCCCGAGTAACACCCAATGCCTTCATGAGCAACGTTTCTGTTCTTCCTGCAGCCTGGATGATGCCCTCCTCCCCCTTTAACCTCAAAGCTTTGTTCTCAGGGTGGTTTCCATACCATATACCCCCCCTTTTTTTTTTTTTTTGAGACAGAGCCTCAAGCTATTGCCCTGGGTAGAATGTCGTGGCATCACAGCTCACAGCAACCTCCAGCTCCTGGGCTCAAGCGATTCTCCTGCCTCCACCTCCCAAGTAGCTGGGACCACAGGCGCCTGCCACAATGCCCAGCTATTTTTTGATTGCAGCCGTCATTGTTGTTTGGCAGGCCCAGGCTGGATTTGAACCCACCAGATCAGGTGTATGTGGCTGGCGCCTTAGCTGCTTGAGCCACAGGCGCTGAGCCATATTCCCACTTTTCGTATGATCGTTTATGGACTCCTCCGTAACCTCCAGTTAGGTTTTAACTGCCTGAGTATCGCTCCATTTACTCCACGAACACTTACTGAGCACCTTCTCTGCACCAGGTCCCGGGTAAAATGTTGGTGAAAAGTGCAGACGTGATCCTCCCATTATACGGGTTATAACCATTGCCTCCTCCATGGTTCTGAGTAAACGCAGCATCATACCCCACATGACAACTCTATGGTCAATGACAGAGCTCATAGACAACCGTGGTCCCATAAAATTATAGAGCTGAAAAACTCCTCTTGCCTCGTGACATGTGTTACAGTTACCTGCATACCCTGTACAGTTACATGCCATACAGGTTTGAAGCCGGGGAGCAATACACTATCCCCTTTGGCCTAGGTATGCAGTAGGCTATACTACCTAGATTTGTGTACATACACTCTGTGCTCTCCCACAACAACAAAATGCCCAGCCACATATTCTTCAGGACATACCACAGTCATTGAGTGGCCCATGACTGCATTTATAAATACAAAGTTGATAAACGTGAAAGTAATCAAAATACTTTGCAGAAATAGTATAGATAATGTACACAAAAGCCCTGTGTGGATAATCCTTAATCCTATTTTATAGCTAGGAAAAAGTTAAGGCTCTGAACAATGACACGGCTACGCTGCAGAATAATTCTAAGAAGTTGAGAAGTCTTCATGTTTGTTTCCCTTCTTTAATGTCAGGGTGCGTCGGCCTTCTGGTCTCCTTTCCCTCCTGCTTTTAATGTGTTTGAGAAGTGCATGGTGCTCCATTAGTGCTGAGAAAAGTACAGCATCACATTTCTGAGTCTGTCCTAAAAACATAATGGTTTGGTTGAGAATTGGATTTACTTTGAGATTTTTTTTTGCTGCTTTTTCCTTGTCGGACCTGGAGGGGTCCCATAAGGTGGTTTGGCACAGGGCATCTTGCTGGAAAACTGTTAATGCGCCCTGGAGCCATCTGAATGCTGATGCATGCTTATTAAAGATGATTTCACTCCATTTAAAGACATCTGCACTCAACATGGGGACGAGGAATCATGGAAATCGCATTTGCCTTTGGATCCGCCCCATCAGAACGTCGGCGTTAATCAGAGTGATAATAGATGCTCTGATTACAAAGGCTGGAAGTCTCTAGTGCCAAGAATAATTTTAGAGTGATCAGAGCAGAGGTCAAATCTAATTTCCTGCATTTAACAGGAAGGGGAAAAAACCCAGACCAATTGACAGGACCAGCCATGGGAGCCGAAGGTCCTTTGAGCAAGTTCCAGGAATACTTTCCCCTTGGCCACAGCTGCTGGGGCTGAGCACAGGGGCTGGTTTGTCTTTTAGGAGGAGGATCTTGGGGTGACCTCTGCGGAGGGAAAGAGACAACTGTGTTGGCAAAAGGGCTCCGTTCCTGGTACCTGGGGCTTGCTGTGGGCATTTTCTGCTTTTCCAGGACAGAGCAGCTGCAGTCAGGGCCTGGCACAGGGGTGTTTCTAAGGGGGCCTTTTAGTCATAGAAGACAGAGAGCCACAGGAGGCCTCAGCCACACCTTGGGAGCTGCTCCTGATCCAGAGCACATAAACTCACTCTAGAAAAAAGAATATGGGACTCCCCAGCAGCCGACCTGCAAAGACTTTGCTGAGCTGTGCTCACAAGGACAACTATGCTAGGCATTCCCCCTCCAAGACAGGTGGGTCCCACCTGATACAGCCCAGGGAGGCAGATGTGACAGTTCAATGGTAAGACATGGCGGATGTGAAAAAGTCCTGCTCCCAGGCAAGCAGAGTCTACTCAGCACTGGCCGAACACCTTTATGAGAAGGCTGCATCCTCTACCCAGCAAGAACTTCATACTTGGTCCTGGGGGCTGCTGGAGACACATGAAAAGTGAAAACCACTTACAGATGGATGTATAATTAAATGTTATTGTTGTTGTTTTTAAAACTGAACTCACATTTACCAGAAACAGAGTGTGAGTCAGTGTTTAAAAGCCATCCTAGAGGGGCGTGGTGGCTCTCATGTGTAATCCTAGCACTCTGGGAGGCCAAGGTGGGTGGATGGCTTGAGCTCAGCCTGAGCAAGAGTGAGACCCCTGTCTCTAAAAAACAGCCAGGTGTTGTGGCAGGCATCTATAGTCCCAGCTACTTGGGAGGCTGAGGCAAGAGAATTGCTTGAGCACAACAGTTTGAGGTTGCTGTGACCTATGATGCTATGGCACTCTGCTAAGGGTGACAAAGTGAGACTCTGTCTCAAATAAATAAAATAAAAGCGATCCTGGACATTTTCACAGCACAGGTACCATAGGCCTGTGTGCGACATTCTCTCTTAAATACACCCAAAGCATATACACATATACATGCATACACAATTTTGTTTTGCTCATTCATAATTTAGGTGAAAATTTTTAGCTACCAGTGCAGTCACGTGGAAGACTGGAATAAGAAACAAGGTGGGAGTCGGGAATCCCTACCGCCCAGCAGCTCTGTGACATCTCTGGGCTTCTCTGTGCAAGACAAGGGCGTTTGCATGATCTCTGGGGCCCCTTCCTCCTCCAATGCTGTGCAATCCTTTACCCTACAGGCTGCCGACACCGAGGGACTCACCTTCTCGTGCATCCGAAGACCTGGTTGGCCAGGCTTCTAGTCCCTTCCTGGCTCAGATCTATAAATTGTTAATTACATCTATAATTTGTTTCTTAAGAGTATTTCAAGCATCAAGTGACTGTGTGGATCAGGCTGGGCCCAACAAGAAGTGTCTCAAAGAGAAGGTCACCATCTTTAACCCGGGTGTCCTCAGGCTGCCTGTGAGCTCCGAGGTGCTCTCAGTTGCTCTGGCAGCTGGAGCTGGGTTGGGAGGAGACAGGGAAGGTGAAGGAAAGGGGTGGAGGATGTGTTCTCAGCATTGCAAAGTGACTTTGTCCCCCTAGAACGCATTCTTCCTAGAAACAAGGCCATGTGGCATGTGTGAGGTGCCCCGGCTAGCCCATGATCTGGGCAAAATCAAAATCAGGTGGTCTGAAACTGTTGTCATTATTTCTGTTCTAGAGTTTTCAAGACAAGTGAGGTGAGAAGACGGCCTGTCCTGTCCTTGGGTTTTAAACAGGCTTTCCTTTCATTCTCCAAGACTAGCCGACCCGGCTGTGTGAGAAGAGAGGCTGCCTCTCATCACAGGGAGAGACCACAGGCTTGACGGCAGGCTGA